TAATGTATATGTACATAATGGAGAAAAGTAACATTATCATGCTGCATTCTATTTGAAGATAAAAAGCAACATAACTAAACTCCCTGAATAGGACGATCCTGCAATTTCCAGTGTTGTTCGCTCTGTTCATGTCCCTTTTTCATGGGCAAGTTTTAAATTGAAGAAGTACTACAAGGTTCATTTGCCTACCTGGAAAGCCTTAGTCATACAGGCCCATACATGTAATGTGCGTATTGAAATCCATTTCTTTGTTTACTCTTTCAGGAAACTTTCAGGGGCAGATATCGTCACATTTTAGATGTCACAGATCCAAGAACCCTGTTTGTGTCTAAGGTAATTTTTGTTTTTCGTTTTATAATATTTGATGTGTGGTAAGGGCAGTTTACTTCGTTGCCTTTAAAAGAGTTTGTAACAATGTTGTTTTTTCTTCCTTCTCCCACTTCTTAACCATTGTAGAAACAACTAGATGATGCCGTCAAATTATTGGACCACTTTAAGAATGGGACATTACCGGAAGGAATCACCAACAAACAACTCTGGGAGGCACAGAAGCTGAAACAGGTGTGGGTCTTTTATCAGCTGCTGTGTTTAAAATAATGCAACTACTTCAAATCCTAAAACAGCCAAGCCATCATTCATAATAAGATTGAGTCGAAATCAACAGGCTATGGCTACAACTATCATATACATATCAATGGGAAGGCCCTGTAGCCACGAGTGAATGGCTTCTACATGAATATATGCCTTGTCTAGTCATAGCCACAACATTTGCTATCCTATCCAACTGTTAAACGTTCATTTCAGATAATTGTCAAGACTGAATTTGTGTTTGAATTCTAGGCAGTTTTCCATCCGGACACAGAGAAGAAGATCTTCATGCCGTTGAGGATGTCAGGTATATTCAGAATGTCTTTCTTTGTGACATTAAGAATCATTGTTATTCACAAAAAAAACTTCAATCATGCGCAACCAAAAGAAGGGAAAAACTGTGAATTTCATGAAGTTGAATCTTGCATGTTGCCTTGGAAAAAGTGCACACCATTTCACAAAATGTACAAATGGTTGTCATTATTCACCCAGAATTTGTGCGTCCCCTTTCTTTAACAAGTTCTAAGTATATACTACTCCCTTTTCTGATTATATTTTACAGGTTTTGTTCCCTTTGGTACAGTCTCCGTTGTTGGCATGTTACTGCCAAACCCAACCCTGGCTTCAACTCTCTTCTGGCAGGTGAGGAGATGCAATCAACATATCTCACTCCCTCCAGCCCCCACACACCTGCACACGATTGTAGTGTTATGCTTTGTTCCAGTTTTAAAGTCAAGTCTAGGACATTTAGCCTGTGGACAGCAGAGAGGCTTTGGTGACAATGGGATGCCAATGGTTCTGTGTACCTAACGTCCATGCGAATACGCAATAGATTTCTGAAATCACCTGTTTACACAATGACAAATGCATGGAATAAGTGCAGGCATAAGGCATGTCCCCTGTTAAGGAGATTGTTGCTTCTTTGGAACAGTAGGCTCAAGATTAGACTTAACTTGAGCACTGTCTGTAGCTTATATTTGACTAAGCTCAGACCTGTGCCTAGATTTGGCTAGTCTAGAGATGATAGCAGTCCATTTTATCAACAGTTGACGTATTACCTATCAAACTAAGTGAATTTCAAAATCTTACCGTAGTATTCATTTTATCTGACAAGCATTGATTCATAATCAATGTTTTGAATCTTTAAGCCAGTAAATTTCATCTACGTCACTTTATTTTTACAGTGGATAAATCAGAGTCACAATGCCTGTTTCAACTATGCTAACCGTAATGCCACAAAGGTAAGTTGTAATCAGTGAAATTGTTGATATGAAGCTAGAGTCATGTCCAAATCAACTGGTTAGGGCTAGGAGTTGCACTTATCTATGGGAAGTGACTGCTAGCCCCTAGCCACTGGCTTCCATATGTATTTGTGTTGTTTCTAGCCACATGCACGACTTTAGGATGCAGCCTAAGGCCTAGTGACTTGATGCTACTGAACACAATCACTTTTTGCTACCAGAAACTTGGTCTTTTACGCATGCTGAAGCCTTTATATCAGGAAAGTGTATCATGTTGAATTCAAAGGCAGTGTTAAAGGCAGTGTGAGCATAAATCCTCACGCTTTGGCAAGTAGGAGCAAGTTTGTCAAGTAAGATACATTAACTCAAACTTTCAGTTAACTGTCTTTGGGTTCCCTAAAATTGACACATGGAGATCTTTAATTTTTCAGGNCAATCACTTGGCTACAATGTATTCAGAAACCTCTGTTCTCAATTGTAGGTGACACCTACAGAGCGTTTTGTAATGGGATATGTTGGAGCAGTCACCATTGCTTGTTCTATCGCAGTAAGTCTTATGAACCCTTGCAGATCATGCAAAATCCATCGTTTAAGTTTCAGAGGACTGTGCCAGATAGAGGAAAGTTGAGCTCATTTGTGGTTTCTTTCCACTTGGCGTGATGCTCCTTGAATATTTTAAAAGTACAAAGAACGTCTTCAAGGCATATTTTGTAATGGGGAGATGTTAATTTTAAGTACATGGTTTTTCTCTTACAAAGAATAACCATGAAATATTTCTGTAATGTTGAAGTCTGGAGTTTTGGGAAAGGTTCCTGGTTAGTGTGTTTTTAAATTGAGTATATTTTCCACATTTAATGTTTTAATTCAGTGAGTTACAATGTAGAAGACAACGTCCTTAGCTCATTGGAGTGGTGCTTTTTATCCTGTGAACAAAATACAGTTTTCATTTGAAGGACACCACCATCCCTGAGATGTGAGGGGTTTTGAGGGGTAGACTTTGCAACCCCCCCCCCATGCCAGTGACAGCAGATGGCCAATAATATCGCCCTCCCACTGGTCTGCTTCCAATGTTGATTTGATTTGTTTGTTTTCTTTCTATCAAAAGGCAGGGTTGAGTATCTTATTGAAGAAAGCGACCAACTTTAGTCCTACCACCAGGATGGTCATACAGAGGTTTGTTCCATTCCCAGCCGTCGGTAAGTCTCTAGAGATTCAATCTTATACTATCAACCTTGAGTTCAACTGTTTCTTGACTTGTCCCATTGCTTTGGGTTCTTCCACAACTTTTTATCATTTTGGCCTTCATTCAATCTTCATTTTTCAGCTTCAGCTAATGTCTGCAATGTGGTTCTGATGAGATTCACTGAATTGTATGACGGCATCGATGTTGTTGACTCTAAGGGAAATGTAGTTGGATCTTCCAAGATTGCTGCAAAAATGGTAAAAACTCATCTAAAACTGATTTCCTGTCCGTTTGAGGGAAGCAATTTTCCTGGATTTTGCAGAATGATAGAATACTTTGGTTATAGTTCTTTTTGCTGGAGGGAACTTATAGGAATCAAATGTCTCTATTCCTTGCTTCTAACAACAGGCTTTGAAAGAAACAGCAGTAACCAGAATAGCTATGCCAGCTCCTATCTTACTCATTCCACCTGTCATCATGACTTTCATTGAAAACAAGTAAGATTTCAATAGTGCCTATTAATTTGTTGTTTTTCTCTTAATTGACAAATTTGGATAATGTCTTTGTGCCAATGTGATGCAAAGTGCTTTATGAGAAAATTTAGGAAGGTGTTATTCAAAGTTTATCTCAAGTAGGATTTGACCTTTTGACTTCTTGCTCGCTTGTGTGAATATCTCACATGAAAAATGGAGGGGGGTTTGAATCAAGCAGCTTTCTGATTATGGACTGTTGTAGATATTTATGTGTACAGACTGGTCACACAAAGGTGTTTTCAGACAGTTTGTATCTTAGTATCTTAACCCGGATTACTTCTAAATACTCATATAATGTGGTTCTGTGGATCAATATTTGTGGTAACTTTCTAATAAATTTTAATTTCCACTGTAGGTTTCTTATTTCAGTTGTGTTTTCATCATGTACGTTGGGCATCATTTGTCATCTAAAAGATGTCCTGTTTATCATCGTATTGACAGGACTCATTTCTTGAAGCGTTTTCCTCGCTTCCATTTTCCTCTACAAGTCGTTGTTTGTACCAGTGCCTTTGCCTTTGCTCTGCCGTTGGCTATCAGTCTCTTTCCACAGTTCTCAACGGTAAGAAAAAACAACTTCANTATTTTCTTAGATTCAAACCTGGTGATCTTTGATGTCAGAGAAAACCAGTAGCATGCAATACCTTGGTCTTGGTCTCAGAATTCCCCTGAAATCTTAATTGGAATTTTCTCTCTCAAATGGAGTAAGATCAGGAATACACCTGCTAATCTAAAGTGTGTTCGATAGTGGATTTTTGGCAGAGTTTGTCATTGTCATTTGGATGTCATTTGACATTAGATGGTAGCTAAGATGAGATGAAATGCCGGCAATTCAGGAACTGATTTCTGACCTAGACAGCAACTGCATTTCTGCCATTTACATCTTCTTGTCATCTTTTGGGTTTAGGTTTCAACCTCAAAGCTGGAACCTGAAATCCAAGCAGCAACATCGGAGAAGACAGTCAGTTACAACAAAGGGTTATGAGGTACCTGACGTTACATAAGGTAACAGTGAAGCAACTTGAGTTGTAGTCAGGTAATGTGATTTATTCATACAAAGCTACCTCAGTCACTGTCATTTGAACATAGACTATAAATCAAAAGCAGTAACTGTCGGGCAGTGTACATTGGTGAAGCCTTGAACATCAGAGTACCAACTCTTTGAATCATTGACCAAGTTTGAGTATCAAATGTCAAGGTTTTAGGGTGACACAAATGTTCACAGTCCGTTAAAATGGAACTTTTTTTGATTTTTCTCAGTCTTTGTTGGCAAAGCAAGTAATCATGAGTGCTGAATAAAATTCCAAGTTTGAAAAGTGTGTCTATCAAAGGTAAATTGTATTTCCGGTTTTCATCTAGTTGTCATTTTTAATCATAATGCACAGTATTGTCGTTCATTTAATCATGATTCCTGGGAATGATTTTGCCATTCCTTGGGTTAAACCTTTCTCTGTAATTATTTATTTTACTATTATTCTGTACTGTATAAGTTACAATGATCTCAAAGTTAATTCCGCCTTGCTCTGTTCCTAAGCAAGGCATTTTACCATGATACCTGCTTCCAGACAGGAATATTGCAGGAATCTGTGAATGTAGAGTTTGCTTTTTGCATATTTGCAGTGCTTATCAGTTTGGAACATTCAGATCTGGCTGATAACAGTCCTCTAGAGTTTGGACTACGTCTGTTGTCACCACATGCCTGGTTAGTTGCACTTGGGAAAGAGGTTGACCTAGATGTAGACACTGTTGATTCAGATGTCGTCTGAGGAAGGCTACCTAACACAGTAGTATTTGCTGCCATTTTGGTTCTGCATCAGTTAATTCAGATTATCACCCACATTATGATAATTTTCATATACTCTGCATTGTTAACATTTTTAAAAACTTCATTTGCACATGGGAATCAAAAGAGGTTGTTTCAAGGGTGCGCGGATCTTCTTTACTTATTCACCTCTAGGAGTTGAAAAAAATTATAACTTATGCAGTAGTTGAACAGTTTTTTTAACCATTTATTTTCAACATTTATTCTATAGAATTTCACACAATACATCATTGAATATACTGCATCACTCTGCGCGTCAAAAATTTTGTAGTAAAATATGCCAAGACGAAAGTGACATGTGACAAGAAATCAGCTTTTAGAGCATTTAAATTTTAAAAAATGTAATATTTTACAACAAATTATTTTTATAATAAAAGCAGCTATGAGTTATTTAATAAAAAATATATTAATGGTGAAATCAAGTTGCAGTGCAGTCTTGTAAACTTGTATAAAGTGCTGTCCGTTGTCATTGCATCTGCCACAGAATCTAGCCGTGTTTTACAAAGTGCGCCCTCGTTGTTTGTGTTTTCCTTTTGATGATTCACTCCTAGGTATTGGTACCACTAGTAAATGGATCCCTCTCTCCCAAATCTCACTCCTAACCACACTACCAGTTATCATCCTAGTGCCTTTTTGCGAGAATCCCACTGTACATGTTTTTGTTAGCATTATAAACTTTGTAGAAATTCTACACAGATGACACAATTGATCTTGGAAACAACATGTCCTGAAGTTGAAGTTGTATGTTGAACTATTACATCAAACATTGCAAAATGAAATGTTTTGTGAATATGTGTTGCATTTTATGTCAAGTATTTTCAATTTTACTGATATGAGTTTTTTTTTGTTGCAAATATCATTGGTACTAAATGATCAAAGCCTTAGCCTCCTGATCAATGTATACGCCATCTTCCTCCCTTCATGCAAAAAACAAAGAAGCGCCTAAATTTGATAAAAATGGAAAGGAACCAAAGACTTAGCAGACGATAACTTTCGTCCAACCCAATGCGCACGTTCTGCCAACATGGCACCTCATCAAAACAAATTATATTCCTTTCTACAACATGGTGGGATCAGGGTACTAGACTGTACCTTGGCATGTTGGCTAGAGAGGGCGCTCATTAAGAGCAATCTTTGCCGACATTCAAGTAATAAAATGGCATTGGCAGCACGAAAGATTGACGAAAAGGACTGTCCCAAATTCGAACTTAAAGGGTCGCGATTTAATCAGGTGAGTGCTTCCGAGGTTTGTTGTTAAAGAGGTCAGGCTGAAAGGGGAATAAAAGAGGTGTCCATTTATAAAACATCTTGAAGTTGAAGTCACTATTCTCGCGGTCGGAGGTTCCATTTATTTAGGGTCTGGGCTAGGCCTATGGACTCCCATCTGGGCGAAGGGGCAACTCTCTATTCACTTTGTACAGCCTGGGATTTGGATGTTTTCCTCCTTTTTTGCTGCAACATGATAAATATAAAGTTTTTCTGTACAGTGTTGGAGATATTCATAGCGCATAAATAATGAAATTTCAGGCACATTTGATGTAGGAAAGATTAGGGATACGAGTTCAGTCAATATGCCGTGGCTGTTGTTACAGCAGCCGTAATGCATCTCCCATTTTCTATCGTTACAACACTGCAACTGCACAAGCACGCCAACTTAAGCGCAGATTTCGGACTTTATTTCCCTTTAAAAAAAATCCTCCAAAGCCTCCAATGAAAAAAGATTCCTGCTTAGGCCTATACAATTAGAAACCAACATAGAAAAACAATTATGGTATAAAACATGAAATTTAAGTGAAAAAAAATAAAATGGTCCAAATGCAGACTCAAACTCACACACCAGTGGTTCCAACCCTTCTGCCTTGACCACTCGGCCACAAGCGTTCAGAGATCCATGTAATTTTAAAATATACATGTATAAACCGTTGTGATGATCAGCTGCGTCATCGCACTTGCGCAGTTCATTGCCGTAAAAATAGAATATGGGGGACGTGTTATGGCTGCCGTAACGATAGCCACTTTGTAGTCAATAATAGGCCTAGGCCCCAATTCAGATTTTCAAGCCCATAGTCGGCAACACTATTTTTGCCCCTTTGAGTTTCGAGTGTGAGATATGGAATAGCCACCAATTGACCAATCAGAGAGAAGAATCAAGAATCAGTGACATTAGTTACTCAGAAAAGATGTCCCAAGTCTTACCACTAAATACAAGTACAAATGGATAGCATTCTCCTTGAGATTACTAAACACCACCCTTACAAAATGGATATTGTTCCCCATGAGATTACAAAACACCACCCTTACAAAATGGATGGTGTTCCCCTTGAGATTACTTAACACCAGCCTTACCTGGAAGTAGTAATTTCACACAACTTTGAATGGATGTACCACATATCCAAGATTACCATGATTACCACTGCAGCATGTATGTTGGGACTTTCGCAGAGACGCCTCGGTTGCAGTGAGCAAATTAAAGCAACAGCATACAAGTCATCAGCACACCCAGCAGGTTCACTAGAGGCTGCGTACCAAGCTCCACATTCATTCCTCTTCACACCAAAAAGGACTGCTACAAATACTTATTCCATGTTCAGTCCTTGAATGGAACCAACTCCCTCACTTCAGTTTGGAAGCTTCTACTGTCGACATTTTCAAATCTTGCTTGTTGACCCTGGATATCAAGGCCCTTTTAAACCACGCCCACCCTCTTGTCTAAATTCTTGCCTACTGCCAACACTACGCCTTCGTGTTTATAACCCTCCAAGGATGTTTGCGGAGTGTGAAGCAGAAGCAGAGGTACAGCAGACCGTGCCCCTACTTCCTTCATTCAGCCCAGACAGCTGTAGCTCTGCATTATTACTTATCAGTAGTGCCTTTGCAGTGGCGTAACTGTGGGGGGGGACCCCAGCAGATGCCTGTGCCCCCAGGTGCCCTACCCCCCTCCCATGAAATCTGTGAATAATCTCCTTTGAGTTTATATAGCTATGCAGCTGCATTATTTCTTGTGGTACCCCTTTCAGTTAAGGCCATGAGAGTAGAAGTTGCAGATTTGCATCCACTGCCCGCATGTCCCGACACCACCCCTCCCTCCTGAGAAATCATTATTTACAAAAATTTCATTATTTGTAAGAAACGGACACAAAATCACAAAAATTGCAGTTCCGAATCTTCCAGCATGTCTAGTTTTAACAGCTCTATGAAACACCATATTCGTGCATTTTACCCACACTGAGCTCGGTTTAGATGGCTTTCATATGTCCAGATGTCTGCTGGAGCTATGGCCAACCCATGTGCATCGGATTGGCTTGCACGTTCAATATGTACATGTTACTGCTGGTCTTTTTTGTTGTGATGATCCATATTTGACCTGATCCATGAATTGATGAAGGGCAGCCTACATGCAGCTCATCCCTCAGCAAGACTTTTGGTTGTAGTTTGGCAGTGTTATACTTCAGAAGTGTCTATACTTGGAGGTTGAAATAAAATGAGGAATAATAAAAAATGAAAAAAATGCCTTATGTATTTTGAAATTGTTGGAACGCAAATCTACAGCTTCTATTCTCATGGCCTAAAAAATGTGTGCACCCCCAGGTGCCCCCCCAGACATTTAGTCGTAGCTACACCACTGTGCCTTTGAGGCTGTGTGCATATTGAAATTCATTTCTTTGTTTACCCTTTTAGGAAACATTCAGGGGAAGATATCGTCACTTTTTAGATGTCACAGATCCAAGAACCCTATTTGTGTCCAAGGTAATTTTTTTTCAAAATATTTGATATGTTGTTAGGACAGATGATTTCATTGTCCTTCAGTGTGTTTGTAACAGGGTTTTTTCCTCCCGCAATTTCTTAACCATTGTAGAAGCAACTAGATGATGCCGTCAAATTATTGGACCACTTTAAGAATGGGACATTACCTGAAGGAATCACCAACAAACAACTCTGGGAGGCACAGAAGCTGAAACAGGTGTGGGTCTCTTATCAGCTGATGTGTTTAAAATAATGCAACTACTTCAAATCCTAAAACAGCCAAGCCATCATTCATAATAAGACTGAGTCGAAATCAACAGGCTATGGCTACAACTATCATATACATATCAATGGGAAGGCCCTGTAGCCACTAGTGAATGGCTTCTACAGGAATATATGCCTTGTCTAGTCATAGCCACAACATTTGCTATCCTATCCAACCGTTAAACGTTCATTTCAGATAATTGTCAAGACTGAATTTGTGTTTGAATTCTAGGCAGTTTTCCATCCGGACACAGAGAAGAAGATCTTCATGCCGTTGAGGATGTCAGGTATGTATAGAACTGTTATTCACTTGAAAAAAAATTCAAATTTAAATCATTTGCAATCAAATGAGAGGAAAAAAATAGAATTACATGAAGTTGAACGTCACCTGTTACCTTGGACAAACACCAATGGACAGAATTGGCAGTTGGTTTTCCCACTACATGCTACAGGTAATGTAGAGTTTTGCATCCCTTCTACTCAACAAGGTGACATTAAGTATTCATTTTAGTCTCCTTTTTATTCTCTGTTTGGCAGGTGTTGTTCCTTTTGGTACAATCGCAGTAGTTGGCATGTTACTGCCAAATCCAACCCTGGCCTCAACGCTCTTTTGGCAGGTGAGAAGATGCATAAAACATACATGACTCCTCCACCCCTATGCACACCTGCTAAGGAATCTCTGTTCACAATGCATAGAACTGGTGCACATATAAGATATGTCCTAGCTGGGGAGATTGTTGCCTCTTTGGAACAATAGACTCAAGATTAGACTTAACTTGAGCACTGTCTGTAGCTTAGATTTGACTAAGCTCGGACCTGTGCCTAGATTTGGCTAGTCTGTAGATGATAGCAGTCCATTTTATCAACAGTCGATTTATTACCTGTCAAACCAAGTGAATTTCAAAATCTTACCGCACTATTAATTTTTTTGACAAGCATTGATTCGTAATCAGTGTTTTGAATCTTTAAGCCAGTAAATTTCATCTACGTCACTTTATTTTCACAGTGGATAAATCAGAGTCACAATGCCTGTTTCAACTATGCTAACCGTAATGCCACAAAGGTAAGTTGTAATCAGTGAAAGTGTTAATATGAAGCTAGAGTCATGTCCAAATCAACTGGTTAGGGCTAGGAGTTGCACGTATCTATGGGAAGTGACTGCTAGCCCCTAGCCACTGGCTTCCATATGTATTTGTGTTGTTTCTGGCCACATGCACGACTTTAGGATGCAGCCTAAGGCCTAGTGACTTGATGCTACTGAACACAATCACTTTTTGCTACCAGAAACTTGGTCTTTTACGCATGCTGAAGCCTTTATGCCGGTAAAGTGTATCATGTTGATTCAAAGGCAGTATTGAAGGCAGTGTGAGCATAAATCCTCACGCTTTGGCAAGTAGGAGCAAGTTTGTCAAGTAAGATACATTAACTCAAACTTTCAGTTAACTGTCTTTGGGTTCCCTAAAATTGACACTTGGAGATCTTTAATTTTTCAG